TTATACATGTAGTTGGTGAAATCAGCAATGTTGTGACAACGCCTCTTAGTTTTTACACACATTTCATGTGACTTTAGCCTTGTGTATGGTGATTTTGTTCATACAATTGTGTCTAAGACAATATTTTGGTAAGATTTGGTCATCATTATGTGGTTATATTTAAACAAACAGCAGCCCGTCTGCTGAGGTAGCTCCGCTGTTAGCAATGCACATTTCAATTTACAGAACTAAAGATAGCATTAGAATATGAAAATATATGTATAGTATCAAAGCAATCAAACTTTCAACAAGAATTCAAAAACATCACTTTTCACCAAAAATATTCATTAAAATTAGAGAATTGAAGATATCATCACAAAATGAACAAATCTGAGAGAGAGTAGTACCTATATATATATATAATATCAAAGCAATTGGACTTTTGGTTTTTAACAAGAAGTTGAAAATATCACTTTTTACCAAAAAAGACAAGCATATTGATTTAAATAAGGGAATTAAAGATAACATCACGAAGTGAACAAATCTGAGAGAAGTCCAAATGTAGTACCCATATATGTAAAATCAAAACTATTGGACCTGTGGTTTTTAACAAGAAGTCGAAAATATCACTTTTCACCAAAAATTAAAAAAATATTCACCAAAATTAGAGAATTAAAGATATCATCACAAAATGAACAAATCTGAGCGGTCCACATGTAGTATCTATACATGTAATATCAAAGCCATTGGATGAATGACAACACCGGTAATTTACCTAAAACATTCAAAAAATATTCAAGATCATCGTAAAATGAACAAATCTAACAGAGCCATGAACACCAGTCTGGTGGTCTTCAGAAAAACGTTGAATATTGCAGATAATGGCATAAAACAAACAAATCTGAGAGAGTTACCATCACAGCAAGAAGTGACTATACTGTGATGTTGTTGTTCCCACTGTTTGAGTGCCATGATAAACACAGAACATGGCCTGTAACACAATTTCTAATTGGTTGCTCTTCCTAGGAGATCTCCTTGTAAGCCAATTAGAGTGCCTTACTAGGAAGTGGCTGTAACACAAGTTATGATTAGTTGCACTTCCTGTGAGATTTTAACACAACTTGCCGAGGTAGTTGGTATGAGGTAAATATCCGAAAGTGTCCGAAAACATTCGCTAATGATTAAACTAGAAAAAATTCTACTTGCATTTCATAACAAATCTAAGGATTGATAATCATGACTGAGTAATAATAAGTTATTTGAGTAAGTTATTTGTGTTTTATTTTATTTGAAACTGGTTCTAAACTTTTCATCGCCAACAAAATCGGAAACAATATTACAATAAAACCACAAAATATGTTTTGTCATCACATGGGAATACAACATTTTTCTTTTTTTCTGCCAAATTTTTACTGTTTAAATACATATTTTAGAACTACATGTGTAAATGAAGGCATTTCACTCTCACCTGATACCTAAAGAGTGACACTTAAATTAAAATACTCATGGTGATGTTTTTTTTATGATTTAAATAGGATTTCAGCATTACACATGCAAACCATGTTACATCACAAACAAAAACATTAATTAGTAAATGATAGCATACTGCCCTCTACAGGCAGATTGATTGATAGGGATTGTAGTAATCAAAGATTTCCCTTTTGGCATTCATGGCTTTAGAATTACAAAAACACGACTCAGCAAGATATTATAAGCAGTGGAACATAAACTTGTAGGTTCTGAATGAATTTGATACATTGTATTTTTAAAAAGGGGTTACAAAACGTCTTGGAGTTGACAGAATGATTTTCTTAGTGATTTGATGCAAGTAAACAATATCTTTATTATTGATTTTCAAACGAAAAAAAGTTTAAGCCGAAGTATATGAACAGTAGTAGCTGAACTACTGCTGTTGTAAAGTGTGATATATCGATATGTGGACTCTTTGTATGTATCTGGACACTTACTGTAAAACATGTCTTTTTCGCAAGCATGTCTTTTTCGTGAATTAGGGAGAGAACTGATTCGCTAATTCAAGATGACTTTATTATCAATTCAAAATGGCCGCCAAACAAAGAAATCAACAACAAGAGAGATTCGCTAAATCAACATTTCGCTATTACGTCATTTTAACACAATTCGCTAAAATTGCATGGCGCTTTTTCAACATATTTTTACAGTATGTAATGGAACATGAAGCAACAAGAGAAGTCACATGAACCAAACATTCTAGTTCCTTTCATGTTGACGCGTTTTTTTCTCTCTTAATATTCAAATGATATTTGTTTAATCATCTAGTATTTATGATGAAC